TACAATTACAATATGGTAGTTTAATTATTTTTTATTCCTTTTAGGCCTCCCTACCCTCCTGGTCATAAATTAGCTTTAGAATAGTAATAAATTCGTATAGTTTTAAATTCGTTGTTGAAAGGTGTTTCAAATAATCTGTGCTTGAAAAATATTCGTAGGGAAATATAAGAGTAGTAGCTGACAGCGTTACATATGTAGGATTACCTCAGTGCTGAAAATATAAATACAAAAAGGTCTCCATTTTCGTATTTATATTTTATTATATATATTGTATTGTCAGTATTTCGTTATACTTTATTATCATTACTCTTTTTACTTTATTATTATTGTTTTGTATTCTTTTTGTATCTGTGTGCGTGCCTACTGTCAAATAAATACTTTACTTTCTTTTAGACGAAAGTGTATATATAGTCAATAAGAATAAGAATAATTTATTTAGCAAAACAAAGGACAAGTATACCTATTATTTAACAGAAAGCGATAATGAATACATAGAAATCACAATCACAATTGCAAGGTAGACCAAAAAATACTAGTTTATAATGTATACATACAAGTTAACATAAGCAGTGCCAATGGCCAGGTGCGCAGTAGTCTCTCTTGAAGTAGGTGTCAGAGTAGATGCAAGAATGGAATTTAAACTAAAGAAATATGCAAAGATCGTATTAGGTAGATGCTCTTTCGTTTATAAGCGTAGTGGTTTCTAAACCTAAAGGACAGTTAGCAAAATACACCCAGCTCCGCCGTGACACAGGTTACTTCATTTTGAAGATATCATAACCATGAGTCACTGTGCCAAAGGTCAATAAATTCTGCCCCGGGATTCTCTACATATAAGTACGTTTTAAATAGGTTGAGCAGACCTTCAACAATTGTCTGTTGACAGTCAAGGTGTTAAACAACAATGGCAGAATTACAAATCTATTCAAAAGCACAAAAGTGCTAATAGGTAACATTGTAGGTACACACAAGAGAGTTTAATTTAAATCAATGAATACAAACATCTGTGAACGTAAGAAGCGAGTGAACTAGCAGCGTCCCTTAGGGGATTGCTAGTAGGGTTGTCACATGTCATTGAAAGTGTTGAAGGTAAAAAAGATGGCCTCCTTTTTACCCGACTACAGGAAGGGTAGGTGTATATATATTTATCGTATATATTGCCTTGTTAACGGGTCTCGGGTTCGATTCCCGTGTCGGGCAAAGTTAAATGGGTTTTTTTATAAATCTTAGTACTAGCACGGAACCTTGAATTGTGTCCGGTATATGGATAAAGGGTCAATTACATGGGACTCATAACATAAATAGTGAAAAGTGGGTGTTATATTGTACAGTGGCATTAAGTGCCGTAATGTTTTGCACCTCTGCCTACCCCTTCGGCGATAAAAGGTGTAATGTTATTATATCCTGTGTATTGTTTATTTATTACAACTTGACTTTTAGAATCTATTATAATTAAAAGCTAATATTTTTCAAATATACCACAAACAACAAATACATAAAAGACCTTTATAGCATTACCTTAGCTATAATTCAAACGAAATGTTATATATCTATACATATAATAAAATTGTAGAAAAGTGCTGTCTGTACATTGAAAATAAAAATAAAAAAAATAGCAGGGGCTAATGTTATGTCGATGTCTAACCCAAAAATGTAACTAACTTTTTTTTGTCTGTTTGTCTGTTTGTCTGTTCACGCTAATCTCAGAAACGGCTTATCCGAGTTGGATGCGGTTTTCACGAATATATTGTGGTATGCTTCAGTTATGCTTTAGTGTTTGTTTCATGTCAATCGGTTCATAAATAAAAAAGTTACGTCAAATTAAAGAATCACGTCGAACACTATCTATCTATCTATACATATAATAAAATTGTAGAAAAGTGCTGTCTGTACATTGAAAATAAAAATAAAAAAAATAGCAGGGGCTATTGTTATGTCGATTTCGAACCCAAAAATGTAACTAACTTTTTTTTTGTCTGTTTGTCTGTTCACGCTAATCTCAGAAATGGCTTATAAATATATATATATTTAATAGGGTGCGGAAAAGGTGATAGTGGTTTTATTCCTCAGATTCCTCTCATTCCAAAAAAAATTCCGTTTAATTTTAAACGAATTCAGTTTCCAGTGAGCCTATGTTTCGCCATGACAATTAATAAAGCTCAAGGTCAGACTCTAAAAGTTGTGGGTATAGATCTAAGTATCAGCTGTTTTTCGCGCGGTCAATTGTATGTGGCTCTGTCCCGTGTTAGCAATCCCAGCAGCCTGTATGCTTTCACCCCCGATGGCCATACGTCTAATATTGTATATAGAGAAGCATTACAGTAAAGTAGGTTTTTTAGCTACCCAAAATGACTGTGATTATGATCCAAATCTAAAATAAAAATAAGTATATATTTAAAAAAAAAACGCTGGTCATAGCCACTATTCTACGCGAACGAAGTCGCGGGCACAGCTAGTATTTTATAAAATTCAAATTAAATTAAATAGTCCTGTTTTTGATGAAGTAACAAAATAAATACAGTCGGCTCAAATTTAAAATAGTAATAGCCAAAATGCAATTTACCTCGTCCATCAATGTTTACCAAATAAAACTAGCACGCTAACTACTAGTTTAAAAAGCCAATAAAAAACATTTAGCCATCAATATTTCATCAAAACGCTCGTACACCTTTAACAAGTTTTTCGTAAAAAAATCGGAGCGTAATCAAATACTGCCAACCCTACCGTGCTCGCGATGAAAGGGTATAAAATTCGATCGTTTGTTGCATTTTCAATCGTATTGCTGTACCCTGCCTCAGCGGTTGAACGATTACAAGTGTGATTTTTTATCCAGAGGTTTGATTTCTGAGTTCAGTAAATTGTTACGGTGCTTTTCGGTTCCTTAACTTTCCAGCTCAGCTGGAACTTTTGCAAAAGACTGAATAAATACTCAATTTGAAGTACTGCCGGTTCATTTAAAAATTAAGGTACATTATATTATACTTACGCGCTGATATTCGTCAGCAACATATATTAATTAGGTAGTTTCTTGGGTCAAAAATATTTTTTTTGATTTTTCAGTCCCATTAAATATTGAAAAATAGTTACACTTTCATTCATTGATTTGCCGATATACTTAATTTTCGATTTATTTTAGCAATTTATTTTTAGATATAAGTGTACCATTTGACGCGAAAATATGATGACGTCATAAGATGGTATTTCGTACAAAATTCATAGAATACTATCGTTTTTGACGTTTCGATAAAAGTATTGAATTTGACTAGTCGTCAACTACCATAATCCTACTCACGTAATTATTTGACGAGGAACTCGACTAGTTTCCAGTCATGCTAGAGGCTATTCATGAGCAGCATTCCGACGCGGCGACTGTCGCGCTGCAGTAACGCCTTATAACACAAATGCCTATATTAAACTGAACCGATGGATTTTGTTCTCAACAAATACATTTAAGATACATTCTCATTTCCATCCCAAACAAACAGAACTAAACATTACCATGATTCACTAAATGAAATCAAAGTAGCTATAGATATACCATAAGTGAGTTTTACTACAATATGATAACTCTTATCATGAATTAAAGACATTTACTACGTATTTGTTTAGATATGTATGAATATTATCTCTACAACTTTATATTGTCCTTCTGTATGTCATTTCATCTCAAATCCATGATAACATACGCGTCTTATCGTCATAAAAGACAGTGTTGATCTTGTGAATGTTACTGTAGTTATATTGATAAAGTAATGCCTAATCATTTCATTTCAATTAATCAACTTTGATATATACATATTGTATTCTAGTTCGAGATATGTAGCTATAAAAATATACATATGAAGAAGAAGAAATGAGAACAATAATAAAGAAGAAATAAGATGAAAGAGTACCTACACATATAAGAGAATACCGGTTCCTAAACACCAGGCTAATTTTAACGACCATTCTATTTTGATAATTAAAATAAAAAATGCACCTAAAGAACAAACCCGAAACTTCATATTCGTAAGACATATTTTTAACTACAGGAACAAAGAGCCATTAAGGCTTTAGACAGACGGACCGCATTTCAACTGCAATCCTGCTGCAGTCGTGTCACGACTGCAATAAAATAGCCAACCAAACGTGCAGTCTGATAACAGTTCTATTGCAGTTATGACCAAATGGTAGAAAACCAAACTAGCAGTCCGATTCTATTGCAGTTCGCAGTAGTGTCAAGTGCATTCAAACTACAATTGGCAGTTAAGCATTTCGGCTGAAATTAACCACCAACCTTAATCAAAAATTTCTGGATCGATCTAGGTTTTTATCAGATACTCAATAGTCAATCGAACTAATGTCAAAAATCCATCTTAATCCAAAGATTTAAGATCGACATCAGTTATCGATTTTGGCCTTTAAGTGTAATACATCGAATAGGGAGACATATCTAAATGTACCCACAGTCCACCATATCTCTGGCCTTGGTACAATTTCGGCCACTTGAGATTATTAACATGTTGTTTTCATCGACTAACTTGTGCTGTAAATAGTTTTTTCCGTTAACAGAACGTCACTCAGTTAATATTTGGTTTAGCTGTTATCTTTCATTATCAATTTGATAGTGCAGTACCGTACAGTCGTCAACTAAAGGGATATCTAATAAATGTTGAAATGAATAATGTACAGACCGTAAAATCATGATATAATTTGTTTTTAAGAATAAGTTAAAATGCTACACAGATACTTACTATGTCATGAAGTAGCATTGCTAACTGTATAAAAGATAAAACTACCATTTTACAAATTATAAAGTATGATAGAACACCATTAAATCTGTACTTCATTTATTTAAAAACGTTTTCATAAATCCAAAACATTTCTTTCTTATTCCGAGGGGATTCAGTAAAAGGTTTTTTGCGTGTATATCCCTACGAAATTATTTGAATGTGATATAATGCTAGATGAATGAAATCACTGAGCGAACACTGTTGACACCGGTAGTACCGAGCGAACGCTTTTACCTTATCTTCGTAAAGCCTGGCAGTCCGCAACACCATTGTGTTCACGCCGTACAAAAGTGACAAAAACATGAAATCCATATACATTGTCGGCATAATCATACTTATGGCAGAAACAGAGTGTTTTATTCAAGACACCACGAGCATTAAAATTTTAGAGGAACAAAGGACACTCTTAAGAAAATTGCAAAATTTCCAAGATCCGAAAGATGAGAAACCTTTGACGTGGAACGAGATGCTCGCAGACGTATTAGTGAACAGAATAAAGATATTATCATTCAACAAAGTGAACGAAAACGAAATAATCGAAGATAGTAAACCATCAAAGGCGAAAAACTTTATAAGGTCGTACTTCAGTGAGGTGATGTTGTTATTTAAGAATTGTATTTACGATAAATTCGTGACGAAATACGAAGAACCAGATTATAAGGAGGAAGATTTAGGAACTGATGCACCTGAAGTTTTTATTACTGATGATATTGACAGTTTAAATGATGATGTGGAACTCATAGAACCGAAGTATCATGGGAAACAAATTGTTGTTGAACCAGAAGGAGCTGAAGACAAGGCTATAGTTGGCTGTCCTGAAGGAACTGAGAAGGATGATAAAGGGAACTGTGTGAAGGCACATTCTCGGCTGCTCATAGCAGTGCCGAGTCAATGCCCGATGGGGTACAGACGAGATAGATTAGGATTCTGTAGAGCTGTGTTCTCTTTTTAGCCCAAAATTGTAAACGTCATTTGTGGCAGTGAAATATATGTGATACTCATTTAATATTAGTCTTAAATTATTTAGTGAAAGTAAGTGATTAGTGTTAAACAAATATAGTGACGAATGTGCTACCGTTTGCGTCATTAAAATTTATCTTTTTCAAACAAACAAGCGAAATGTTTACACCGTCAATCTTGCTTAAAAATGTGAAATATTTTTGATATGAAACTTCCTGAATAACAGAGATAAAATACAGGTTTGAATTTTATTTTTTGTAACGTATGTAAAATAATAATTATTTTGATATTAAATTATTCATCTTACCGTTATCTCTTTTCATTTTATTTAAAATACAATTGAACTTCTTTTACTATTGTAAATAATATTTTGTATATAATCTTCATATATTTATGAAGTATAAAAAAGAGAATAGTTAGTCTCTAGCTTTTTTTTCCATAAACTATATTTCGGAATGTAACGAGCACCTAGTTTCACTGTTATATCAATCGTTATTTTTAAGTTTGAATTTGACATCATAATGAACACATGACTTCCACTAAACTTATTAAACTTTGCACACGACTGCTTACTATTGTTTTACAGCCAAAATTAATAATCAAGGTCTGTGGATTAAGATCGATTTTCGACAGAAACACCAAGCACATAAAGTTAAAAATCAATCCATACCCAGAGATTTTCGATGGAGATAGGTTTATCAATTTCGACGGTTAGTGAACCTATTAACTCATTACTAATATTTTTTTCCTAATTGGTAAAGAACATCAACTCCATTTAATTAAAAATTATAGAATATACTGAGAAATAAGAAAATACAGAGAAAATTTTAGATAGTTAGTTTCGAAGCACAGATGGGTTCGGTCTCGACGATGTCGCGCAGCCTAACGCTCCTCATAAGGAAGAACCCCTCTATGGTTCGAAACTAGTAGAGCTTTTCTCAATATTTTCACGTGAGTAACCCGCGATTTTTAGTTAATTTAGTACCTATGTGTCACAGTAGTTATTATAGAAACATCAACTCTATTAAACCTCACATACAATAACAAAACAATACAAACAAAAGACTACCTGAAATAAAAGTCAAGATTATCGAAATTACTAAAGAATGGCCACGAGATACGATCGTTCACCAAACAAGTCTTTTAAATCGGACAGACAATCGGGCGAGTCAATTTCACGGTATGGCGAGTCTCAAAAGGAGGCCGGATATAGGGCCCTACCTGGTTTCCATCGTTCAAAGAACACTCGATAGCCACAAATTGACTGCTGCCTGAACAGAGCTATGCACTGTTTACCGATACTTGTTTAACGGAAAATATTTGATTTTTACAATTTTAGTCAGGATCGGGAGTTAATATTGAAGGGTATATATAATTTCTTTTTTTTTATAGCATAAACCGGTAAACGAGCAGACGGATCAGACGATGGTAATCAATCGGCACCGCCCATGGACACTCGAAATACCAAGGCGTTACAAGTGCGTTACCGGCCATTTGGGAATTGGGAATTTGAAGATTGTGGAGGATTCAGGGATTCGGGAGACGGGGACTAGGTAATTGGGCCTCCGGTAACCTGACTCACACAACGAAACACAATGCAAGCGTTGTTTCACGTCGGTTTTCTATGAGGCCGTGATATCACTCCAGTCGACCCGGCCCATTCGTACCGAAGCATGGCTCTCCCACACTTTAAATTTCTGTCGTGGTTTTCCTCAAAGTCACGCTTTCTGATCTCCGAAGTGGTAGGCAGGTATGCTTAAACGCATATTATATCATTCACTTTTCTTCGGTTATGTTATGGGTCCAATGTAAGGCAGTAAGCCCATTAATGACATATACGGAGCACAATTTTGTTTCTGAATTTTCGGAAAACTGCAATATGGTCAAATAATTAATATAACATCACGCCTGTTATCCCCGAAGTGGTAAGCAGAGGTACACTTTGATCGAACCCAAAACCCCTTGCCTAACCCGCTGGCAGGCAGTCAAATAATTTTCAACAAATGCTTAAAGAATTTGCACCGGAAATATCGAACCTGGGACTCCATACTCGATAGTCGTACTTGACCAAACTACCACCTAATAACCATTTTGGGTATCTCATATTAAACCGTTGTTTCATAGTTCTAAACAGATGCTTTTCATTATTAATCGAGACTCGATATTAGAAGGGCATCCATTTAATTTATTGTCTCTTAATTGGTTCGGGGTACCACCGCCAGATGGCGCGCTTACGAATTACAATTAAGTAATAGGTAGGTACCTACTTGACATCACATTGCTGAGTGTTAATTAGTTAATTACTGTTCTAGCGCGTTCATATTATGACAGATATGCATTATTACATTATATGAATATGTCTAACCAAAGTACGTAACCAATACCGTGGTAGCACGGAGTCTGGAATTGTGCCCGGTATATGGCAATAGGCTCAGCTCACCCGCTAGTACATGGGACTCATAACATAAATAGTGAAAAGTGAGTGTTACATTGTACAGTGGCAAAAGTGGGACCCCATCGGGGATAAAAGGCGTGATGTTATGTTATGTTACTTTAATACTAGTTAAGATTAATTAAGATTAATACAATGTACTAAATGTGGCTCTCTTTTTAGTTTTTAACAGCAAAGCTTCATAATAAACCATTTAAAACCTGCGAAAATGGTCATGAAATAAAAAACAACGCAAATTCACGCAGTAAAATTGATTTCGCTGAATTCCCTAGACTTTATGCATATCGGGGAGAAACGGGGTTAAAGTTGCAGTAACAAATTGCAGACATCAGTCGTATGTCGCGTTCAGTAATTAGTCAAAACTACTAGAACTTTTAATGAGAGCAAGCGAGGAGAGTGGGGCGTAAAGTTCCCGTTTATCGCGACTTTTTGTTCAAGAGGTACGCGGAAAAGTTAATGTTAGGAAATTGTGGATGACGTGTGTTTTATGTTGTTTATGAGTTTTGACTTGAATAGTTCGGTGGTGTTCAATACCTACGTCAAGAATTGCTTAAATTTTGAGAATGCTACAACTAGAGTTTCTTCAAGTCTTGATCGAGTAAGTTGTTGATAGACAGGCTTGTGAGGCTCCATGGACATGCACCAGGCAAAACAGTGGCTAAACACCATCTTATGAAGGTTACAAAAATGAAAAATCTGAGTGCACCTGTATTTAGACTTCACAAAATCCGAAGGCAGGCCTCCGTGTTTCAAAAATGATTAACATAAAACATAATAATTTGTACTACAAGTCCCTACATAAACACAATATTACTACAAGCTACTAATTCCCAATAATCTTCAATCATTCAATTAACAGAACGTTAACTCCGAAACAATTAGATGTCCCGCAATCCGAACTGAACTTTAGTTTTCCAGCAAAACGCGAGATGGCGACACTGTGTCGGTATTAACTCCGGTGTCGGTTCACAGAGTACAGCACTGTGACACTGTATCTTGTGTGTCACCATTCGGGAGTCGGGCAAAGTTACGCGTTGCAAACTTAGCGAAACGCAGGTGCTAATTACGACTTTACTGTCGCCAATGACCAGTGATCCTTGAACCACCCCCTCCTCCACAAGGCCTCAGTGTAAACGTAACTGAGAACAACAACCGCCATGTTTAGCTAATCAGGGGTCTAAATAATTTGGCGGACGTGATCCCCGGTAATGTTATAGAGCATGTATAAATTAACAGGAGTTTAGTATTAGAGCTTGTTGTTTGTTGAATTCTAGATAGGATACGCTTATGGGTAATCTAGTCTAGAATTATAGGGCCATTACACTTTACTGCTGAAGGTATTTTGACTATTAAAACGCTAATTAGGTACCTACTAAATTGGTTAAAACTTACACTAGTCTTATGAATAGAATACTTTATTAAAGCATTGAATAATAACATATTGTATAACAGAAATTACTTCCAAATATTCCTATATGCTTTTTGGTTCCTTACGTTTAACCTTTTTCACTTTCAAATACCTTCGTAAAAATATACCTACGTATAAAACCCGTACATAGTGTAGCTCACCCTTTAACTGCGCTGTTACTGTGTACTCGGAGTAAATCGACTTGGAAACAATTCATAGCCAGCCGACCAGCACTTTACGACTTTGCCCTAGGATTCGTGACGTCATCGGTAGTGGCTTAGGGTTTAGACTCACTTGACTATACCAAACTCACATCAGAGTCGCTAGAAATTGTTTAATGATGTTGTTGCTCAAAGACAGAAAGGGAAAAGATTTGTAGTGCATTAATATCGCCCTTCATCATCCTATGATCCACCACACACATACAGATTTATCGAGTGGAAGTGTCTAACTGTTTTTTAGATTTTAAAACAATTTAACTAAGAAGAAAACACACTTATTTGACACAGCAAACTCATGAGAACTGCTATGATAGTTTTTAACGATGCATAGCAGGAAATCTTAGTAACTTTGCAAATAATTACTTCTGTGATAAAAAACATATCCTTATTTATTAAATCAACATCAACCACAACAATATTCAAAGTCAAAGTCAAATTTTTTTATTTCAATTAGACCAGCTACATAGACGTATATCATTTCCTTATATTACTTTTAATAAGAGACTGTCTCGTTGGCCGTGTGGTCGCAAGTGGGACTGCCGGGCAAGGGGTCTCGGGTTCGATTCCCGGGTCGGGCAAAGTACTACTGAGTTTTTATAAATTCTCAGTAGTAGCACGGAGTCTGGAATTGTGCCCGGTATATGGCAATAGGCTCACGCCTTATTACATGGGACTCATAACATAAATAATGAAAAGTGGGTGTTACATTGTACAGTGGCATAATGTACACCTCTGCCTACCCCTTCGGGGATAAAAGGCGTGATGTTATGTTATGTTTTGTCACTTTTAATATTCACCATCCTAACATTATCCAACTTCCAACTACCACCTCCCCCCACACCCTTTTCATCAAACTACTATCAACATGGCGCGTTACAATTAAAATATTTGAAACATTTCTGTCGCGAGCGCATAGTTTGTTACGACATAGTGAGACTGCACCCTAAGGGCCTCATCACACTTACATTTTAGTGGCACCTACTGGAGCCACTTGCAAAGAGTTCGTTTCAAGCATCACACTATTTCAAGAGAAATAACTTTTATACTTTATTCTAAATCGTATTGCTATAGTTACGGAAATCAATTTCATTTATGTGTGACTAAAAAACTAAAAGATTTTGAAGTTAATAGTTTCGCCAAGTATTGAAACTCATTAC